AAGCGATTTCAATATTTTGGGATAAAAAAAGTGACATGCATATAGGCAGCATCACATAAAAATTAGGGGAGATATGAAAAATTGAATAACAGATTTGGGATTTATTCACAGATCATCTCAATGAAGGATAAAAATGTATAGCAACTTCACAAAAAGGCAGCCATGCAAATGAAAACCAAGTTCCAGGCACAGCACTCTCCGACAAGAAAACAGGGAAGTTAATATGTCATCAGGGAGATACCGAGATTATCTACAATAAACAGAGTAGAAGCAAGAGATGTCGGAAATGTCTTCTTTCCTAAAAAAAGAATAGAGCACTTTGAGGGAGAAAAGGTATCATGTGCCTCATTTATTAATGATAATAGTCCAAATGCTGTTATGTAGGTAAATATCCTAACACAAGAGCAATAAACATAACTATTTGTTTAAAAGTGTAACTGAGAGAGTTTCTGCATATAACATACAAGAAGAAGGAACCTTTAACAGAAGTACATTTTTTGAAAAAGGTCTGTGGGTTCCGATGCTGATTTTACAATATATTACCTGTGTAGTATTAGTAAATAATACTTTTCCTCTTGGAACTCTGTTTTCCCTGCATTTAAATTAGGTGTGAAGATTGGTAAGAGATTTCAACAGTTCCTAAATTCTTGGCAATTCCACACAATCACAAGCACATATTATTGCTATGTTTTCGTATTTTTTAGAAACATGTACTTTAGTTATAATTCATTGAATAGAGAAATTATCTTAACTCTGAGTAACAGTATACAAATTAATTTCAGGGCAACGATGTACACTGTGGAGAACCTAATGCTGTAACTTTATTATCAAGGATCCTGTGGCAAGTTGAGTGGGCTCAAAAGAAGCCGGCTAACTAGGTTAGTATGTTAGCCATGAGAATTTCCTCTAAATCCAAAATCTAGCTTACCCACTTGCTGCACAGGTAAGCTTAAAAACTGTGCAAGGCCTGTTTTTAAATGTAAAGAGGATGATTGTTTCAGAGCCGTTGAGAGCTTTGGATGTGGTCTGTTTTTACGCAGAAGTCCATGGGAGAGTCCCAGCACTGCCTGTGTAACCTCCTGACGTGAGCAAACTTGCTGTTAGCAAGTAACCCATGTAATAACACATCCTCTTCCTGGCTGTGTTGAGGAATCACAACACGGCATTTAAGACCCACCAGAAGAATTAAAGGTTGTTATACATTAGAGGGAAAAGGGTATTGCATTTCTACTACTTCCTATTTTTGCCTTTGCCCATTTGAATGAGACATAATAGATTTATTACCCCATACAGCCTGTGAAAGACCATAACCTTTTAATAGACTTATAAGAAGGGACTATAACTGTCTTACTAGTCTGCTTTTTTAACTGGAGAGGGCTATTTTATCTGTTCCTCTCAAATTCATAATGCTGTAAATCTGAGCAGACGTAGAGGGTCGTTACCTTCAGGTTAAACCTCAACACTGAATTCTCTGCTTATTCCCTGAACTGTCTTCAGTGCTCTTCACAGTCTACTCCGTTGTCTACACTGACACTTCATGACATTGTCAACAGCACGCTTCAAAATTCCTGTCACATAAAATGCTGTCAGTTACCTGTCCTTCTAGGCCTCTGAACCAAATGAATATTGTACAACAGATGCTTAACTGCTTTTGATGAAGCCATTTACAGGGGAGAGAGAGCAATCTGACTAGACATCTAAGTTGACTAAATCCCCCTCAATGCTATCGTGTTTGAAAATGTCACCTTCTCTAATACCTCTGTATCCTAATTTCTGTGTTATCTCTACTGTACAGGGTTATTGATAGTGGGAAGAATATTGCCTCATGTTATGCAGTATGGGAGGAGTACTCTGAAAAAAAAGCACCCCACCACCAAATATTTAGTCACATCATGAAAGACCTCACTCTATGGGAAAGTGCTTATCAAGGGCTACAAAAGTGAGAGTGCAGTGAACATGGGCAGACGCAACACAGTCCAAGCCTCTAAGTCTCAGTAGGCCAATCAGGAAAAATAGTGGGAGGTTAAGCAGAAAGCAAATGACCAAAAGCATCTCTATCACTCATTTTCCTATCACTCTCTTGTCAGGTTCCCTGGCCTGTACATTTGCAGGGCAGTCTGTGAAAATGCAGGGTTGCTTCATAGAGCCTCGTCATGCTGTAAATCTTAAAGGAGAAGTCATTATTGTCCTCTGCAAACTTTCCCTAAGGAAGTGGCAGAATATTTGTCTTTGCCAGTCCATCCTTTCTTCCGCTCTGCCCTCCATTCCATCCTTGCTTGCCCACTTCACAATAAATAGCTAAGGTACCTATTCTACCTTCTGGCACCTAGCCCATGAAATGAATGCAAATCTCTGAAGCCGTGAGCTAGTGGGGTGAAGCGCTCATCTAGGAAGAGGCAAAGCCCACTTGGGGAAGGCCAAGCAAAAACCACAGTTAGTACCATTGATAGCCAATGATAGGACAAGGTGCAATAGGTGCAAGCTGGAGCATAGGAGGTTCAATCTGAACAGTTTTTTACTGTAAGGGTGACAGAGCACTGGAACAGGCTGCCCAGAGAGGCTGTGGAGTCTCCTTCTCTGGAGACATTCAAGACCCGCCTGGATGCGTTCCTGTGCAATTTAGTCTAGGTGATCCTGCTCTGGCAGGGAGTTGGACTGGATGATCTTTCGAGGTCCCTTCCAACTCCCAATATTCTGTGATTCTGTGATTCCTTGATACCTGTTTTCTGTGATACACGAAGACAGAATGTAAAATCTGGTTTACAGCCTTTCTTGTTTTTGGTAACAACAGTGCTAGTACTTGAAATCTAATAGACAGGTACATCCCCAGAAACAATGTACTTCCTTGTGTAAAGGGAGAGGATTAAAGATTAAGGACACTGCAGTACCTGGTAAGCTTCTGTAAAGGGCTCCCGATGCCTCTGCTCAACAGAGGAGTTCTGATCTGCCTGTTCTGCACCCCCAGAGTGATGTAATTCAGCTTGGGTCAGAACCCAGACAACAAAGAAGTAAAGTGTTGAGCTTTTATTGAGTCAAAGATGACCAGGCTTTTCTTACATTTGTGTCTCTAAAGCTTTGTTCTCAGACAATAAAAGAAATCTATGCACCTTGGATAAGACCAGTCACAGAAGCCAGATTCTGACACAAGACTCACTGAATGCAGCTGTAAAACCAAACCAAACCAAACCAAGCCAAACCAAAACAAACTCCACAAAAACATAGGCTCCAAAAGAGTAAAATGCAGAAGCAAGCAATTTCAAACTACTAAGAGTCATTATTAGCTCAAGGAAAATCCACAAAAAAAAGGGCAAAAAAAAAGGACCAAATCTGATGCTGACTAACTGCAGCATTTCTAATGAAATACAAAACACAAGTGCCCACTTAAAACCTGTTTTAACAAAAGATCAACTTAGGGTAGAGATACCTGCAGACAAATGCTTCAAACATGGCCAATATATTAAAAATAGCACATCTTTCTGTTGTATTGTACTTCCAGCAGACATCTGGTAAGTTGAAATGCCCCACAACAACAAGGGCTAGCGATCATGAGACTTCTCCCAGCTGCTTGTAGAATATTTCATCCATCTCTTCTTCCTGGTTGTGCAGTCTATGACAGACTCTGACCATGATATCTGCCTTGTTGGCCTTTCCCCTGATTTTTACTCATAAACATTCAACCCTATCACCACCATCACTGAGCTCAGGGTAATCAAAGCAGTCACTAACATACAGGGCTACTCCACCGTCTCTACCTCCTTGCCTATCCCTTTCGGAAGTTTAGAGCCATCCATGGCAACACTCCAATTATGAGTTGTTCGACCACGTTTCTGCGATGGCAACTATATTGCTGTTTTCCTACTGCTCTATGGTTTCTACTTCCTCCTGTTTGTTGCCCATGCTGTGTGCCTTGGTATAGATGAACTTCAGTTGAGCTATTGATCCTGCCACTCTTTTGAGGGGAGGTCTTAATTCCAAAGTGAATATTTGCAGTTTTTTTCTAACCCATCAATAACCTTTGCGTCTTTGCTGCCACTTGGATTACTATCATAGAATCACAGAATCGTTAAGGTTGGAAGAGACTTCTAAGATCATCAAGTTCAACCATCAGCCTAACACCACCATGCCCACAAAACCATGTCCTGAAGTGCCACATTCGTGCGCTTCTTGAACACCTCTATGGATGGTGACTATCTCCCACTTCCTCTGAGGTGGCAGACCAGAGGACCACGCTAGCACACTGTGTGTGTCATCCTCAGGCATAATTCTGGCAAGCCTGATTTCATTCCCCTCCTCCTCCAAATCTAGTTTAAAACAGGGAACATCTCTGAATTTATACCTGTATATATTATATCACATCACTGAAGTGCCTACAGGTTGCACTTCTGCTAACATCAGCCTCATCAAGGTATATGCAAAGGTGTCTAGAGCATGACAGGATTATAAGAAAAATTCCACTTCTGTTTGCACACAGTGTACATGATACTGAACCGTGGTCCAAGAAAACTAATGAGCCCCTGCTTCATTTTAAGGAATAATTTACGTTCTGCTAAGATTTTTCTGAATCCCAACTAAGGTTTTTGTATTGTTTCATTTAATTCTTCTCCTCTCCACATATATCCTTGAACACAAATGCAGGAAGTGATGCTTGCTGTTTTCCACAAGGAAATGTTTAGAAAGAAAGATAATATCTTTTGCCAGACTGACTTACATAGCTAGAAAAAACAGGTGAGGTACTGAGTTCAAAATCCTTTCTTCATGTTGTCTAAAAGAAATCAGAAAATGGCTTCATGTGTTTGAAGTGGTTTTGCTTCTTCCATCTATTGTCATTGAATCTAACAGAGATATATCCTGTCCCTACAGATCTCATTTCACATAAATCCAAAGACCACCACAGTCACAACACTGTTTCTTTATAGCATGCTCCTCAACAAGCAGCTGTAAAGCAGCAAGGAATTGTATCTCGTTTAGCAGTCTGAAGTAAGGAGTCATGCCTCACTTACCGCCTCCACTTCTGCTGGGTCATACCAGACATTAATGTATGGATGCTGTAAGGCTTCATCTACTGATATTCGCTTGGCTGGATCAATGACTAGCATCTTTGATAAAAGATCTCTGGCTTGGCTGGCTAGAACAACGAAATCAGATAAATACAGTATTAGTGCGAAACAATCACTGCCTCCAGAGGAGGGTTAACTGGGTTACGAAAGTAACAACAGCACAACTCCTTTAGAGACTGTTCGTATGTACTTCTGCCTCTTGCCTTGTTATAGCAAGTTCTTCAGTAATCATTTTAGGTCAGATTCATTACGAAGGTGCCAACATCAAGGCTGCATACAATAAGTCCTGTAGTGCTTCAATGAGATTTTACATGTCATATGCAGATTCCATGTAGAGGGCTGGATAATATACCCAAGAAAAATGAGCTTGAGGTATCTATGTATCATATATTATTGCCAGTATATATTATTGCCAGTATCAGAAAACAAAAGCTTGCATAGTGAAGTATAAAATCAAGGCACTGAAAATTACAGGTACTCTTAAGATGGCTCAGAAAAGCATCAAAAGTTTTCTGTATGTTTTAAAGTTTTTCACCTTGCCTGCTGAGAGGCATGAAATATTTTAGTGAGGCATAGGTACCAGACTTATGTTACGGCATCCTATTAGGAGCAAGAATGTCAAATCTGTAGCCTGGGATCAATCCATAATGGTACGAAAGTGACTAGGAACTGATCAAGTCTTATTTGTCCCACATAACAAAGTTTAAACCAGTGGGGCACATCATCCTCCACTACAAAGATGCACAGTCTTATACATTGAATTTTATGTTGCAACATTGATTTATTTCACCTGAAAATAATATTTCACCTGATAAAGCCCATGTGCCTATTAGGCCACAAACTCATCCTTCTATTACTCAAATTCTTTTCACTGTTTAGAGTTCGTAACAAATATACCATCATCTAAACCCATGTGAAAAAATGACAACAACAATGTAGTGTTCCAAGCTTTTCCATGCTCAAAATTCTTTCCTATATACATGAAAAAAGAAATTAAAGGAAAAAAGAATGTAAAGAGATATAAGTGCAAAAATAATATTAGATCTTTCATCAGACATGGGTGAGTAAAAATAATATATAATTAAGCTGTTAACATTATTTAGTGAAATATTTAGGCAGGTCATGGGATGATACAATGATGCACAAGCAGAATTTTTAAAATACACTTTCTTGTTCTATATTTTAAAAACTGGTATTCAGTATGCTTAATCACATGTGCTTCCTGTATCCAAAAGATAAAAGCAGTGTTTGACAGTCATTTCTATTCATTAGTTCCAAACCCAAGAAAATTCCATTATTCAAATTTATTGTAGCTGAAGTATAAAATTGCATGTATTCGAAAGCATCTGCCCAGACCCTTCACTTTGTTCCCAGAGCCGAGACAGCAGCCTTTGTATGAAACAGTTGTTAATTGGAAGAGCATTCTGGGTAATGTAATGGCATGCACACTGCAAGCAATTGAAAACCATTACATGCCACTATAGTAAGTAAAATACTCAAGTGGTGCAAAACTGGTAGACAGTACAAATTTGTAGGGGTTCCAGAGCTGTGACGAGAAATCCTTTCTATACTAAACACACATTAACCAGTCTTTCCAATTGAAGGTCAATGCCTATGACTTCAATATATGATTAAAGTCATTGCAATATACGTTTTACAGTGGTATATCTAGTCACCCAGTAATTAAGTTAGTGCATTTCTTCACACATCCAAACCAAAGCACAGCATTTTTCAAAAGAAGAAATACACCCATAGTAGATATTAAACTTCAGGTACATCAAGACTATTTTGTCTGGCATTGCTAATACCCTTCTACTGTCTAGTAAAGGTAGAGCTATGAGACAGACACCTATCTGAACTGGTATTTTTTGCCTAAAACAAAACATTGCAAGTGCTGAGATCTTCTGAGAAGTTCTACTGTTCCTCTGTGTTATTAGTTTAAGAATGAGACTGAAGGAACACCTCAGTTTCTCGTGGCACAGAAATATCACACAGAACAGCAAGGGAATATGCTCAACATGTTAATCAGTGATAATGTGTGTTCCCTTGGCTGCTCAAGCAGCAGGTTCTCAAAAAATCACTTCCAAAAGTTGCCTCTCAGCTGAATAAAACCCATGAAGTCATTTGCCTGCAGCTAACTGCAGTAAAAGGGACTACAACTAGGGAGAAGAAAAATTCAAAAAATCATTGCATTGTAGCTGTTGACATGTGAACTACATGACTGCTTTGTCAGACATACCTTTGAGTTTGTTGTGTTCTGAGTCAGCTGGGAAGAGAGAGTCAGGAAAAAGTTTTGGAAAAGTGAGGCCAGCGTACTTGGGTCTGTTCTCAACGTAGTTTCGTACTGTTGGCTGCAGCTTCTTCATGAATTCTGGACAGGGTGTTCCCAGCTGCTCAATAACTTTATTCCACTGATCAATATCTGAACGTCAGTAGTTAAGGAAAAGAAACATAAACCCCAGTGTAGCCTCCTGACATTTCTGTCTGAGTGTTCTCTATGAAACCTCAGAGGTGTTTAACTCCCTTTATAACATCTTTGCATCACTACCTTTTTTCATGCCTCCAGGTCCTACAGCCTGCAAAAGGGAAAACTCTCTCTCACACCAATACTAACCTGAGGGCATTGTACAATCCTAAAACCACCACAGGAAAATACTCAGCTTCCTTTCTTTGGGTCAACATTCATTACCATTTTTAGCTAGTAATTGAATGGCTTTCAATTTTTACGTGCAAGTAATTGCCTCTATGTCACCTTGGCTACATGGACACAGCAGAGAATGACATGTTCACCCTGCCCTCTCAGTCTGGCTCAAAGGAGATCTGCACAGGACAGAAGTCACCTTCAACTCATCTGCCTCACGCTTTTATGTTTACTTTCTCCAATAACTTAATTGGTGCTAATTTTGCTAAACCCATCTACCCAAAAAACAGTACGTTTGGTTTTATAAGAATGCACTAGGGCTCACTTTCTATAGACAAATGATGCCTCAGGTATAGACAGATGTTTGTCTTTAACTGCAAATATGGCAGCTATATTGGTAAACTGTTACTAGGAAGAAACAGGCTCTCATGTTTAAAAAGTAATTTTATTATAGGCAATTTATACTGAGCTGGTTTTGTTTTGGTGTTGGTCTTTTTAGTTGAGATAACCATTAGGCAGCTGATAGGTGTTATGTAGCTCTTCCAGTCATGTTCAGAACAAGCCTTACTGTGTAACAAACAAACAAAATTAAGCAAATGTCTATAAAACCAGTACCATCTCTAAAACACACTGTCTAATTCGCAGTACTAAGAATCTGATGAAAACATTAAAAAAAAAAAGGAAAAACACATGCAGCCATGAGTACATTGATGCTAGAAATATGGTGAAGGGTGTTTTGTTAAGAACACACAGCAAATAAAAAAAAAAGCTTTTAAAAGACAATCATTCAAAGCATTTTAGTACAGAGGGAGGTTTGTAAAAATTATTCTTCTAAGTTATTATTGTCATGAGCGCTGTAAGTGTGGAGGAGTTTCCCAAATACTAAGAATGGTTCCTCACAATCCAGGAGACAAACCAGGTCAACAGAATGAACATAACAAGGAGAGGGGTAAGATGGGAAGAAAAAAGGCAAAAAGCAGCTCTTTGGTGCAGTAACAATTTCAGATTTTCAAAGAAGAGTTCTAGCTTAGGGAAATGGAAACTTGGAATCTTTGCATACCTTAAAAATTCATGACAGACTTAATTTGGTTCACTTGAAATGTCTTATTTGAAAAAAAAAATCAAATAATTAATTTTAAAATTTCAGCTCTCCTAACCAAAATTGCTTAAAGGAGTGAAAAGAATTTAATCACAAGCTTTATGAATGCTGAAACAGTGTTTTGAATGCTTTTAATTTCAACTGGAAAAGGTTGCTAGAAATGGCAGTGGTCTGCAGAGATTTTTCCGAATAACTTCCTTTTCAAAAAAGAAACCAAAGTCTTATGTAGAACAACCCCCCACACACACACTCTATAGGTTGCATGCATCTTGTGTTGTCTATGAAAAACATATTTTTCTAAAGAGAAAACCGAAGAATTGCAACAACAATAAAGTTAGCCAAGTCTATAGCTGCTCAGATAGAAGCCTGAATATTTCATTAAATATTTTATTAGAAAATAAAAGTGTTTTGACATTTTAAATTTGTATTCAAGTTAACACACCTTGTTGTTTGCCGGCTGGACTATTTCAGAAGGAGGTCTGTCTGAGCCACTTCAAAATACACAGTAAATGTTTTGCAGAGAAGAGCAGAGAATACAGAAATGAAGGTGCTATTAGTTACGGCAAGAGAAGCTAAATGGGTCAGAAAGCCAAGCTACAAAACCACCACTGGCAGCAGTACCTGTGTAGACTCAATGAAGGCTATTTGATAAACAGGGAAGGACAAATACAGAACTTGCTTCAAAGCGGTTGTCAGAAGCTTACGCTTGTACAGAGCAGGTTATCCATCTCTCAGGCATTTAATGATGGCCAAAAAGAGAAAGAGACCTTTAGGATTACAGAATGCTGTGGGCCTTGGACATGTTGAGAGGGAAGATGTAGTAGGATGCTCTGAATACGTGTGATAAGGGAAAAAGAGTAAAACAAAAAACCAGAAAAGAGTCTACTTGGTGGGAACCAGTGTTAATGGTGACGGAGAGGGAAGGAGGAGAATCCAGAGAAGAGGTCAGTGCCTGCTGCTTTCACAGCACTTCTAAGCTCACAAAAAAGGCTCTCGCTATGAGACAGCAGACAAGCAGGCTTCCACGCATGGCTGGAAGATTTGAAGGGATAGAAGAAGCTTCATGAGTCACCAGTGCAAAGATGACAGCCAAAGACAAGGTTGCTGGCAGAGCCACCACGTTCCTCTCCTTGGCTAGCCTTGATTTGCAAGACAGCACTGGAGCTTTTGCCACCCTGGCTTGCACCAAGGGCCAAAAACATAAGGCTTTATGTCACAGCAACTTCAGGGACTTGTTTTGAGTAACTGAATGGTCTGAATGGATAATCGTGCTATCTTACCTTATTATTTCTGATTTACGTTGGCCAATTACTTCTGAAACCCTTAAATAAAATATATTCATTTGCTTTTTATATCAATCTATACACACACACAAAAGCTGGCGTGATGGGGCACTCAGAACCTGTTTTTGTCCTAGTAGTAGCAATAGCAAAACCACGCTCGGTTTCAGCGAGGGCAGGTACAAACAAGCCGTTTTCCAGTCAGATGGACACACATATTTTTCTCTCTAGTATAATTTTTCCACTTACCTGGGCCTTGCTAGCACTGCATTACACTCTGAGGTCCAATACATGCAAATGTGCAATAATGTAACAATCTTCTTGCTGAATACCGGTCTGGCTCCATTTCATTGTTAAGTTTTATACAGTCACTGGTTGTAATGCATCTGTGGAGCACCTGACGATAAGAGGTTGTACCCACCACGGTATGAGATTAAAAATGTAAGAGTTTTGAAAAAATTCTGAGGTCTACTTATTGAAGCAAAGAGAAGAAGCTTTCTCTAGCTGGCAATCAGAATTAACTTCAGCAATTCTGCAGAAAACAAACGTTACTGTAGAACAGTCCTAATGTGAATCAAAACCTACTTCAGGTTACATTAATCGATAGATGATTGCAGCTATAGATATTATTTACACAAACTGAAAAAATGGTACCAGCAGTAAATGATCACGTAACTCTGACATAGTCAGACATTTCCCAGTCCAAAAGAGATTAACCTGTGTTTGGGTGAAAAAAACTTAAGAGAAGGTTCTGCTAATGTAAGACCCTGTTTTTTCCCTTGAAATTAAGCAAATGTTAGACAGCCCGCAAGTTGGAATGAATTACTACCCAAAACTCTGGAAGATGATGAGATGTCAGTCATTTGAATCACCTTAGCTGTCTCTTGCCCCAAGCAGGATGTAGGAAAACCTGTCAACTGTATAAAACAGCATCTGCATGACTTAAGACAGCAGAGAGGATCTAACCTGGATTTATTATTTTGAGTGAAGTATTATATTTTCTTATGTTTAACAGCAAGGTTTTGCAGGAGGAGATACTGTTTGCAGTAGGATGTTTTAGTTCTACTGCAATACAAATTACAACATACTGTGATGCAGGAATAGTTAAGTCTGTTCGTTCTTCCGTAGTAGACAGAAACTTCTCAGTGCTTGGCTATTTTACCTTTAGCAATAACTTAATGTAATCATCCATATTTCCTTCCCTGAAAAAGAGCAGGAGGCAATTTCCTGTTGCAAGTCTAACAACCAGCCACCAGAGACCAATCATTGCTTTTCCATGCTACTCTAAAGTCAGGCTGTGCTAGAAAAGCCTCTTCCTGAAACACCCCTCAAGCATTACCTCTGGGCTGTGATGTGGAAAACACAAGTTATTCTACCAAAATGCCTGTTCATAACAGAGCTTTTGGAATGGTGTTGGTTTTTGGCCATTGTGGTGGAGAATCACGCTTCCCTGCCCAGCATACTGGAGGCCACTTTCTTCACCTATTAAGCAGCACATCTACACTAGCTTTACTGCACTGGAGTAGGATTCAGTCTTTCTGGATAAACATTGTTCTTCTGGAGATGGTTACAACTCGGCCATGTCAAATCTTGCTTTTGTGAAGGTAGGCACAATGAAAACTAAATGGAGATGGAGCTTTTCCCTCATAACAGACAGATGGGGGTAAGTTCATCTCTTTTCAATCTCAGAATCTTAAGGGAACCACCTTTTTGACTGATTTGTCCTTCAATGTGCTCGTTCCACCAATGAAAACTGACTTCATTGCTTTGGATATGAGTTTTTGACGCTCCTAACTTGTCAAAATCGGAATAATTACTGTCAGCAGCTTCATATTTCCCTCCCTAACAACACCAATTGCAATGCTGATAGCTCAACCCCTTTTCATTTGTTTAAATTGGACCTTTTTTAATTAAATCTGTTAATAAAAACAAAACCAACCAACTTCACCATGGGAGACATCAGTGGAAGACATCTATTTTTTCCACAGTCCCATAATTAACATACTGATATCAAGTAAGTTTACAAGAAACACACAAAAGAAATAAAAGTGCTAGCACTTGACAAGACAGCAAGTGTAGTGCATTTTCTGTGCCAAGATGACTACTTTGAGAAGAATGCAGCATTTGTAAAAATTATACTGTAATAAAAATATTTTGCATCTTTAAGAATAGTAGTTGCTCTTTGTATGCTATAAAAGAACATGTGATAATAATAAAAAGAATATGTATCATATAAATAAAATTACTTCAAAATGCTATCATTGACCATTTGGAAGTTAGGAGATAGCAGTGTTGGTTGTGTCGCTGCCATTAACTCTTTGGTTGCATATCTATAAAGACACCTTCACTAAAGTTTTTTTAGCAGACACTTCTTTCAGTTGTTGAGCACCTTTGCCTACACA